CAATTGCTTGGCGTTTACGCAATTTATATATACTTCATAACTATTAGCGCTCGGATTTATCTGTTGTTATATTTAATGATTGTATTCTTTATTTTGGTACTATAATTTAGATACTATTTCAGATAAATACCCCTTTATTGAAACGATGTCGCAAATAATGCTGTCGTCAGATGTATTATTGAAATTAACAAAGTGCAATATCTTTTAAGATCATTTTAAAGTCAAGTAGATATGCGTTAGTTGAGACATAAAACTTATAATAATACTAAGAAAAGATAGTGATATTAAAACAACATCAAATTATAGAATATCAGATATATTCATTGATCATATTTGCATTTTGAGTTTACAGATACGTTTGTTTCTTAAAACTTTGGTGCTCCTCCAATTACGGTGTTTTATTGTAATTATCCTCGATGTATTATACACGAATTTTTCAATTACAATGCTGCCAGTAAGGTGCATACACGGCCTTTTTTCAGCAAGCACACTTTGTGAAATACGATGTTTCGACACTGCTATAGTACATTTTAATTTTACTTAATATCTTACACTCTCGCACATAAAATAATTTTGTCATATTGACTTAAATGAACAAAAATGGTACAAAAAATACTACACCATTCGGAATGATTAGATAATATTCACACTTCTCAAATATTCTCCTGTTGTAATATGTAATTACCAATATTGTTTTATAGGTAATTATCATTCTATGTACATATCTGCATGTCACGCCATAATATACAATTGAAACTTAAAAATTCAAATAATTGTAGCTGTAAATCTAAATATTTTTAGCTGTACCTATGTAAATTAATAATAACTTTATCCATGACTATAATGGAAAAAAATTTAATTGCAAATCATTAAATTTTCAAAAATTATGTTCCAAACGAAACTTATTTTCTCAATGTCGTATATAATCATTTCTAATCTATAATGCATTTATCGTGGCAACTACCGCAAGAAAATAGAATGTCCGTGCAAATAATCTGTGGCTGCAAGGAAGAATGCCACAAGTTACATGTTGTTACTTCTGAAATACTGTCGCCTAAAGTTCTGATCACTAAATACTTCGTATTAGTAGTGTTTCAAATTACAGAATTTTTTTGAATCTATAGAATTTGTTTCCACGATGTTTCTTCTGATAAATACATAAATCCTATATGCTACACTTCAATTAATGCATTAACTTAAATTTTTTAAAATTTTGCAACGGCGTTTTTTCTTATAATCACGGATATGTATTATGCACCTTCTCTATTACTTAAAAAAGAAGAATGTACCATTTAAACAACCAAATCGCGGAAAAAACCTCATGTACTTATTGTAAGTTACTTATGACAATTATTTTTTGTATGTTAATATTAATGCTACAATCAATAGCAATGTATTTTTTTACAGAAAATGTAAAAATTAAAAAAAAGCATTGTA